GACTTGCCGGGGGAATAGGAACCGGACTGATGCTCCCCAGAATGGAAAAGGAGCCAGAATCATAAGGTTCTTTTTAAAAAAAAAAAAAAAAAAAAAAAAAAAAACAGTTTAAAAACTCTTAAAAAAAGTCATTTCCTTTTTTTTCAAAAGGACAACGGCCTTGCGATGTCATCATTGAACTGACCGGCCCCAGGTTATTCAGAATTATTTTATTCTGTTCATCTGATTGCATCTGGATTTGAACTTGGGTCTGTATTTCGACAGTTCATGGGTGTACCAGCTGAGCTACACCAGTTGGTACGTACCAATGAAAGTTCTATTTTGCCAAGCAGTTAGCAGTCCCAGCAGCTCCCCAAAAAACAGGACATAAGGACCCCACACAGTTAAAATGTACACACAGCATGAGATATGGAGTCACTGCAGGGCTTCGCAAGTAGCAAGTTAGCAGTATGAGTGCAATCAATGACGTAAATTGAAATAGCACTATGGCAGGTGTTGCTACTTACGTAAACTCAATTCCAGAAGAGCGGTCTTTTCCTGCCACTACTGGTCGTGATGGTGCTCCACCGCAGTCTGCAACTTGAAAGTTTGCAAATTGAACTCGCTGAACATCTCCAGCAATCGCACACTTGCTGCCACATCGGTAAGCTCTCAGCCGTCGGAATGTCTGCATTGGATGTGGATAGTAGTGTGAGACCACCAACCTCCATTAACTTAACAGAGCTAATTCAATCTTGAATATTGACCATAGTTGCTCTCTCTCTCTCTCTCTCTCTCTCTCTCTCTCTCTCTCTCTCTCTCTCTCTCTCTCTCTCTCTCTCTCTCTCACTCTCTCTGCATGTGTGTGCATGTGTGTATCTCACTCACGCATTGTCTGTGGGTGTGCTTGTGCTCGTTGTTGACAGTAGGTAAGAGATGACGAGGAAGGCCATGAGCAACCAATTAAAGTCGGGTGCAGTGATAAACATGCGGCTGTCATGGGGGGAAGAGGCAGGACAACTGTTAAATAAAATTTTCATCATCTCAATAGCAATCATCATTCCACAAGACAACTGTTAAATAAAATTTTCATCATCTCAATAGCAATCACCATTCCACAGGCTATGGGAGATATATGTGCAATGACCCTCACAAATCGCTTTCTGAGATTCCTGCAATCCCTGAGAAAATGCTGCTCTTTTGGTCTGTTTTCAAAGAATCTGAGTCTGTTCTGCTGTGATTTGGTGTGTTTTCTAAGTGTGTGTGTGACCTACCACTGACATGCATGTGCCGTGTGCTTGCCTGAGTCCAAGTCTGGGTCCATGTAGTGACTCTGTTGGCCATGCGTGCATGGCTGTGCCTCAGACAAGGACCACGTAGAGACATGGCCGAGGGGAGGTCTGGAAGTTAGCAGTGGGACGTGCTGGGTATTGAAACAAAAATTAAAAAATCAATCAATCAATCAATCAATCAATCAATCAATCAATCAATCAATCAACAAACTAATCAATAATCAATCAATCAATCAATCAATCAGTCTCTCATCTTCTTTTTTTTGATCCCGAACCCCCTGACAAAGGAAGTTTTTTTTTCCCGTTTTTGCTTTCCTGGTGGGTTGCCCCCAACGTGCATCMCCCYCCCCCCCCCCCCTCTTCCCCTCCTTGGAAGGCCCCCGAATCAGCTCGTATGGCCGTTCGTACGGCTGGTCGAGCCGTATTAGCGGCCCATATTCGTACGGGCGTACACACAGCATAGGGTAGGAATGGTACAGATGGAGAAATCAGCAATGTTACTAGTTCAGCCATGGGACATACACGGAAATGGCAGACTTAGCACACCAGATCAACCGGACCCTTTCATATGGATAGAAAAGCAGGAGGCACAGAGGGTAAGAGTGGTGGAAAAGGAGAGAAAGAAATTGTCTTTTGGAATGCAGTAAGAGTTGAAGACCTCCCACTGAACCCGCAGAAACGGCAATGGTCCCGGCCTAGCCTGAGAAATAAGCACACATCTCACCTCTGGCTGTATAAACTTACAGTCAAATCTACTTCCAAACTCATCCACCCCAACACACGTGGCTAATAGGTGGTGTCATTTTCGCCGAATTTTTCACCGAAACTGCCATATTGCCTTGACTTTTTGCCTTTTTTTTTTATGTGTGTGTGATATGTGGAGACATACAGGATAAAATCAGGGTATGGTGGGCCAGGCACCTAACCTAGGCATAATTGATCTGCAAAGGATAAAACTCGTCATGGATTAGAAAAGAAAACTGGCTAAATCAGTAGCTCTACAATGGCAGATCACTCACTGTTGCCTGCCGGCTTGAGATTCGCTCATCGAGCACACCCAACTGGAACAGAAAGGGTGCTCCTACCATGGTGCAAGAACTGCCTGTCTAATTTCCTGCACAGAAACATTAGAGATACCCAGGAACACCTCTTCCTGTCCTGCCCAAAGGCAGTCCTGCTATGGAGGAGGTGGGACAAAATCTGGAAGATGGCTTACAGGGGAGCCAACCTGGCCATGGGATTGGAAGTCCATGCTCCCGGTCCACCACCAGCCTCACAGAGGAACAAGCTTAGCTGATAACTGGTATTGGATGGGGTGAAAGGCAGTACTGTGGGGAATATGGACGTCTTGATGCACTCGTGAATGGGGAGACGTCCAAGCAGGCCACGAGACAAGGGAAAACATCATAACCTACATCCGGAAGTTCCAAACAGCTATGTTGGGAGAAGGGCAACTGGTGCTGGACAACATTAGGTGTCTGAGTGATACAAACGAGAAACAGGAGAAAATCAAAGAACTCTGTGACAAATCGCTGAACAAGGGATAGGATGTGCATCCTTCAGCGCACTTTTGTGAATGGATGTCCTGCTAGAAAGCAAGGGGTAGGATTACATCAATGGTGTTCGGGGGATATGCTCGGTTTGAGAACGAATGTGCAAAGACGAGTATGGAGTGAATGCTGACTGGATATGAGTGTGGTTGGTAAGCTTGCCGGGGTAAGATGGTAGTTTTTGGAGATTCACAGTGCATTCGGTCATCATCAAGATCACCGTCTTGCTCTCTTTCACTCACTCAAATGGCTGAACAAGCCAGAATCCAGGGAGATTGAAAAGGTGGAGGGGGAGGTATCAACTTACAGGGGGTTCATCTGCGATTTGCTGATTGGACCAACTTTGATGCTACTTTGCAAATGAGGCCAGCCATGGAGTTCTTGGACCCATTCCCAACCTCAGACAAGAGCATAGGGGGCCAGAATAGGATCATATGACATAAGGAGAGGTAACTAGCAAGGATTTCAATGGGGAAAGGTGGTGGCTACAACCTAGCCGAAGTGTCACGCTGCCTTCCCATCATCACTTGATGATCTTGTAGGCTGACAGATCAGCCATGCGCAATACACCACCATGTCGGAACTTTTTCATGTAATACTGGGACGCTGAACCTGTTTTCCAGCAGGTGCAGCTCCCCACCAATAGACTTGATCCATCCCAACTGCAACCCTCGATCCAGGTGGTTCTCTCACCACCTCCTGGATAGAGGAGCTGCAGCAAGATGTTCTGCTACAAGTAAGCTGCCTGACCTTCCCAGGCCCTGCCGAATTTCTGAAAAATCCCTACCAGGTCCCTAGCCAAGTCTACTCTTGTCTATGGCTCCCTCCCTCACTAGCACATCTTTCAGTCCCGCCTGGCCATCAATCTTCTGCACTACACCGGTCAAATTGGCTAGCCTGCTCTGGCTCATAACGTTTAGAGCAGTGCCAGTGAATCATTGCTTAGCCCAAAGGCGAAAAAAGGAAGACAGATCAGAACAGGAGTTATGGTGTAAAGTCTGCAACTCCCAAGCGATAGAAACTCTCAACCACTGCTTCCTGGATTGCGAGAAGGCCCGAATCCTATGGAATGAGGTAGAACAAACTTGGAGCAAGCACTCCAGTAAAATAGTCCAAATTAACCCTGGAACTCTTTTTCTTGACATAGAACAAACACCGCCCTTTAAAGGCTTCAACCTCTTTGTCTTCTCACAAATCAGAAAAGAGACGCTTTGGGCGATTTGGAAAAGAAGATGCATCCTAACCTTTGAAGACAGTCCTACTAACCCTGAAAATCCCCTCATCCTTATTAAACAGTTAATTGATACTGAAATCCACGCCCTCTGGAAAAAAAACGCAGACCCAAATACAAAACACCCATGATAAAAATTGAGATGATTAAAACTTTCACGACATCCAAACTCGGAGGAGGAAAAATAGGCTTGACAATAGGGAACAGATTAATCTTGAAAGACTGGCTTACCCCAACCTGACACAACAACCAGGATTCTGAGAATTCCATACAACCACCCCGGAACCAAACAGATGAACAATTGAATAACAGATCACTAGACAGTGTGGATGTAAACTCCTAATCAGACTGTAGAGTATAGGCTTACTTCTCCCAACATCATACACCAAACTCGAACATTTTCAATGCCTCG